CACTGCGAAAGCACATGGTTCCAGAAGTATACATCCAATGGATAAAAATGATCTATCACGGAGCCACGAGTCATGTGCAGACCACGGTAGGACAGTCAAAATCATTTCGCATAAAGACCGGCGTGCATCATGGATCGGTGCTCTTTCCTCTTCTATTACAGTCATGGATGCAGTGACGGAAGGTCTCAGACGACCATAGGCTTTCCTGTATGCAGACGATGTGCTATTGATGGCAGAAAACAGAAAAGAACTTGAAGAAGAAACGCGGAGATGGAAGGACCAATCAGGGTATTATGGCTTAAAGCTAAACACAAAGAAGGCAGAATATATGGAAGTGGGAGGTCAAACTTCAGAAGCCATATACATCGATGAAAAGCCAATCAAGAAAGCGAGTACTTTCAGGTACCTAGGAAGTTGCATCCCTGGCGAAGGGGATCTTCAATATGGAATATCTGCCTAGAGAAACGCATCCTGGATGATGGAGAATCTTCACAGGAGTTCTATTCGATAAGCGAATGCCATGCAACTTAATCCCAAATATACCGTACTCTGGTTCTCCCACAGCGCTGTATCGCAGTGCATGTTGGCCCAGCACGCGAAATGAAGAACATAAGCTTATTGTCATGTAGACAAGAATGCTGCGGTGGCATTGGGTATCACCCTGCTAGATCATGTCTTTAACGACACAGTTCGTGCAAAGATGAAGATTGCTCTCATCGTTAAGAAAATGCAGGAAAAGTGATTGCGACGATACGGACATGTAAGTAGAAGAGATGAGAACCACATCACAAGAATGTCCATGTCTCTGGAGGTCGCTTGAAAAAGACCACGGGGAAGGACAAAGATGAGATGAAGAACAGAATTAGAGCTGATTTGAAACAGCCTAGGACAGACGAACGTCATGCCTTGAACCGAGAATACTGGAGACAGTTGACTTGTATAGCAGATTGCGTAAGCTTGTAACGCGTAGATAAAATTTTTTTAAAACTTTTTGCCTTATGTAATAATTTGTTCTAGCATTTATGCATCCAACGTACGATATTTGTAACAATACCCACCACGCTGGCCTGGAACTCGGAGATAACTCCTAGTTAACCTTAAGTTTAATGGGAGGTAAGAAATGAAATAAAACTACAATAACTCTGAGTTACAATGATAAGGTGAGTTAGTGATGTTAGGAACAGAGAAACTCTTGTAGCAGTGCTCATTCTGTACAATGTTCCGAGGGCTTTTTCGTGATATGGAAACTGCTATGCCTGTATCTCTATTCCTTACAACACTCTCGCGCTTATCACTGAGGCTCGCAATCAGCTTGCATTCATTACATTTCTGAACTGCCAGCTAATTTGGAGGTTAACTGCGAGTAAACTCCGAGTTTGGTCAGAATTAAACCATTTACTTTTTGGAGGATTTAAAACCATGGAATCGACTCCAATCTCGAACTTTTACGGTCGTAGTAGTACATCCCTCTACACTGAAACTTTGGATTTTCTGCTTTTCTACATGATAACTGCAATTTTAAAACTCAGTTAATGCGAAAAGTGGCAGT